CCTAACATAGCTTTGTAATAAAAGACTAAAGCCATCAATACACTGCGTTCAATTAAAGAGAAAAATAGCACAGATAGTGCGGGTGTTGAGTAAATGAAAGGATCGCTCTATTGACAGCATGTTTGTTTTTTGCAATCCTTGTGCGCGCACTGAATTGCATCAGCAAAAGCACACACAGAAACTGTGTTCGGCCACCTTAAGTGAACAAAAATACATTGAAAATCTAGTACACGGACAATCTGTTTTTTACTGGCCTAGAAAAATGCATGGCACAAGTAATGATGTGCTATTAATATATTATTATTAATAAATTACTTTCACAATTCCCTTCAGCCCAATGTGTTTATTTGATGCGAATTAGTTAATGTTTCTGTGACATTTTAATAACAAGAGCCTGTGCTTTATGGAGTGTGATTCTATCAAATTGCATGCGGGTTCCTTTCATTTTCATTTCACTGTCAATTTCCACAATTCCTGAACCCGAGATACCATTTAATGCCCCCCTCCAACTCTCATNGCTGCATTTAACTGGGTTATTTCACAAACAAAGCAAAAGTTGAGAATTGCTGGGTTCTTTGCCTGGTTACCTTTCCTAACATAGCTTTGTAATAAAAGACTAAAGCCATCAATACACTGCATTCAATTAAAGAGAAAAATAGCACAGATAGTGCAGGTGTTGAGTAAATGAAAGGATCGCTCTATTGACAGCATGTTTGGTTTTTGCAATCCTTGTGCACGCACTGAATTGCATCAGCAAAAGTGCACACAGAAACTGTGTTCGGCCACCTTAAGTGAACAAAAATACATTAAAAATCTAGTACACGGACAATCTGTTTTTTACTGGCCTAGAAAAATGCATGGCGCAAGTAATGATGTGCTATTAATATATTATTATTAATACATTACTTTCACAATTCCCCTCAGCCCAATGTGTTTATTTGATGCGAATTAGTTAATGTTTCTGTGACATTTTAATAACAAGAGCCTGCGCTTTATGGAGTGTGATTCTATCAAACTGCATGCTGGTTCCTTTCATATTCATTTCACTGTCAATTTCCACAATTCCTGAACCCGAGATACCATTTAACGCCCCCCTCCAACTCTCATGTCCAAAGTTTATTACTATGAGAAACTTGCAATGCCGTTCTGATCTTGTGTAGGCAAGGATCGAAGTATCCACCTGAACAACTTTAAAGCTGAGTCCTTTGAAGCATTTAGATGTTGACCTTAACCTCATAAGCTCCCGATACAGGTGTAGCATGGAGGTTGGATCTAATTTCTGTGCATCAACATTGACTGTTTTGAAATTCTTTGCAACTGGTAACCACAGCTTTGGCCCTGATGAAAACCCAGCATGTCTTTCACTACACCACTGCATGGGTGACCTCTGGGGGTCTCGGAAATCTTTGCAGCTTTTTAGAGGGACTTTTGCATCTGTCATTCCAATTTCCTCCCCATAATAAGTGACTGCAGTTCCAGGCAGGGTAAGAAGGAGTACATTCAATGCACGACAGTATTCTGGGCCAACCTTACTACCTATTCTGGGTACATCATGGTTTCCCAGGACCCAATTTGGCCATTTACCCCTGGGGAGTGCAGCAAGGTACTCTGAGATCACTTGGTACACATCCTCTGCAGTTTTGGATTCATCTAATCCCAACAACCCAAAGTTGAAAGGGAAGTCAAACTCGTTCTTTCTTCCACCATAGTACTTGATAACATCTGGGAGGTCTGCCATGATTTCACCAATTAAAATTCTGTAGGAGTCTTTGTACTTATCAAGAAGTGCTCTCCACTCTTGTACAATTTTGTGATTATTATCTAAGTTTTTGGTGTAGATGTGTTCCAAGTGATCATGCTGAGGATGTGAAGGGTTGTATTCAGACTTGGTGGGTTCATCTCGAAATTTAGAATCTTCAACAAGATGAGGAACTGCGTCCACTCTAAACCCATCCACACCACGATCCAGCCAAAAGATAAGAACCTCACTGAGAGCTTGACGCACCTCAATATTTCTTAGGTTGAGGTCTGGCTGTTCAGAGCAAAACTGATGCAGGTAGTACTGTCCTGTTTTAGCATCATAGCTCCATGCACTTCCACCAAACACGCTGACCCAGTTATTTGGTGGTCCACCCCCTGGGGCTGGGTCCAACCACACGAACCAGTCTCGTTTAGGACTTTGTCTACTGGAGCGGCTTTCCAGGAACCAGGGGTGCTGATCTGAGGTGTGATTAGGTACGAAGTCTAGGATGAGTTTCATGCCTCTTGCATGGGTCTCCTTAAGAAGCTCATCAAAGTCGTTCAGATTTCCAAACAGGGAATCAATGTCTTTGAAGTCTGACACATCATAGCCGTTATCTACCATGGGCGATTTAAAAATTGGGCTCAAGTAAAGAATCTTAATTCCTAGGAATTCAAAGTAGTCGAGCCTGTTCATAATTCCCCGCAAATCACCATTTCCATCGCCACTAGAGTCTTGGAAAGAGCGAGGATATATGTGATAAATCACGTTTTCTTTCCACCATTTCTTTCGTTCTTCCTGCTCCTTTCTTTCTTTGTATTCCTTCCAGACAGTAAATATCACCACATTAACAAAAACCGCAGCCAAAAAGGCTGCAATAATAGACCCAAAGCCACCAAACTCGTCGACACCCATTTTAGACGTGTAATGTGTGAAATTCTTCCAGGCGCTAAGCGTAGCCCCGTTGGTGAAGAGGGAACTGGAACCTATTACAAAAGATGCAAATGAGTGGTTCCTTGCCGACGAATAAACAACTTCGTAACTGTTATGATACTTAATGCTATGAAAAAGCGGGAAGTTAAACTACTTTCTCACTTCATTTGTGTTTCTGTATTAGAGAATTGAAAGGATTTGAAAACATTCTTGCGATTAAGCCAACTGTTCAAGGCGAAGACGATGTCCACTAAAGCAGAACGGAGAGCGACCTACGAGAATAGAGTGGACCAAGATGGACGGTTGACAGGAAAACACATAAAAACTCTGCTACACCTTCAAGATTTACACTCTGAAAACGATCTCTTAAAAGCCAGAATTGCTGAACTGGAGCTACAGCAGGCAAAAGCTGCAAGATGTGATCTTCTGGAGCGAGAAGTGGAGAAATTACGGGTAAGATAGAGTGTGTTTTTTTTAAAGAACTCTGAACTGCCATCTGCATAATCACACAGTCGCTGTCCGCTTCTTCAGACATCTTTTAAAATCTGGTTACCGGGTACAAGACTGGCTATTATTGGTGTGTTTGGATACACGAATAAAGAATCGGTTATAAATATTGCCCTGTGTGAAACATAATCTCTAAAATCGAAAGAATATGGGTTTTATACAATATCAACTGCGCGTCATGCATCGGTGAATCCAACCTACACGCACGTATAGCAGCACTGGAAGCCAGAGAGCTGCGTAATTAACACCTGCTTTTTCTTATCAACATTAGTATATTAAGGTCACAAGTAACTCATCAAGTTAAAATATTTCGTACTAAGTTGTTATGTGCTATTCCCAATAAAGCTTAAAAATGAAAAAAATGGGTTGAAATAGAACTAAAATGTGTTGAAGCCTGTTTTTAATACCATAGCCCAGGGGGAAGGTTGTACTCTGCCTTCATATTATTAGGGGACTTAAGATTTGAGTACGAGTATGACTTTCCAGTTCTTGTTTGCAAGCTTCACATTGTCACATCACATACCCATCTCATCCAAGAGCTACCCTCTCTACCCAAAACATGAAGAGCGAGCTCGGGGCTCTGGAAACGTCACTGGTTTGAATCAATCTCATACTCATAGTCCAGTCTAGAGGTCCCTAATATGACTGGCTAGCTCAGAGATCAACCAAGATGACACAAATTCTGGACTGTGATTGCCTACCTGACTGGGCAAGATGGGACTGTCTGGTCTGCTCAGCATCACTTGCTCTGCGCAATAAAAAAATTGTGTTCTTTGTGTCAGATGCAATAAATCCTTTATTGACCAAACTTGTTTGGTCAAGATGGCTAGATCTTGTCCTTATTCTTTTTGGAGGAGTTGGGCTGCATCTTGGTCCATGAACATACAAAAAAGAATAGGGCCAAAAACCAGCCATTGTGTCACCTCACAAAGTTGAGATGTTATGATCTGGTAATTTGGGTCACAGATACTTGCCCCTTTTGTTATGACATAATTTTCAGGTAGACCAGAATAGTTTTTGGAACAGAGCAACAATTTAGACTTGGTCTATCAGGAGCATTTAAACTTCATATCTTGAGCCTTGTGAGACAGGAGCATGGTACATGCTCTTGTACATGTAATCTTGAGATCAACTTTTTTTTAGCATGATTAATGACTCCCAGATGTCAATTTGATAAGAGAATCCTGCCATGGTGTGTTGTCTAAACTGCTGTCTCAGTACGTTTTGGTAATTTGGCCATTTTACTGTGATTCTCAGTATCCCAGTCAGATCTAATATCAACTCATTCCAGTATTTGTTAGTAATTAGCATTTTTAATTTACCAGTTGACTAAATTTGTTTACCATTGTTTAATTTAGTAGATTAGAAGTTTATCTCAAGTGTGACTGCAATAAATGCCTTGTTTACACTGCTCTGTACCAAATTACACAGAACTGTCTATCTGCAAAGAGTACTTAATTGATTAGAGACTTGTATAATCTTGAGAGCTAAGAAAAAATTCAACTGTTCCCGTAACTTTAGGATCTTCTTCATTTGATAGCTCTTACTATAAAATTACAAACTAACTGTAATTTAATTCTTCTTTTAAAATGACTGAGCATTTCATTTTTTAACTTAATATTAAATCTAATCAGATTGAAAAAAAGCAAAAATGTCTGTCTTCATCCAACTTTTTTTTAATTTCAAAAAGTAACAAATCAGGATTACCACTGTTAGTCTCTTGTTGATTTAAAGCTGATAGCATGTACTACAAGAACTGAATTAAAACAGCTAAAAAAATCTCTCAGCTAAAGGTTTTATTTCCATTCAGCTTTTTTTACTCTTCCAAACTTCCATAATTTCATGTTATATGTTACTGGAAATCACGTTTTTCTATAACATTGTGAATAATTGTGACAGAATGTTTTCTTTTTGTCTTTAGGGTGATTTGTCAAAATGTCAAGAGCTTCATCAGATTGCAAATGACACAAAGGAAAAACTACAGCAAATGCAAAAGGACTGCTTAATGAAGATTGATGAAAACTGCACTGCTTTGACAGAGAAACACAAGATTGAGGTACAGTGTAACACATTGATTCAAGTAGGGGGATATAAGGATGCAAAACAATTTCTTCAATAATGCAATAATAATAATAATAATAATAATAATAATAATAATGCAATTTACAGTTGAGCCTCAATTAATTGTGACCTCTCTTTAATGCCTTTCTCCTTTTACTGGGTTTTTTCATCCCAACAAAGCACTAATCCCTGTAAAGGTCTGGAGTTGACAACAAAATTGTGTTTTCTCCAATTATTCTTATATTTCTTCACATCTCTGATACACAGATTTTCCAATTTTAGAGCCTTATTTGATGGATCTATAGGTCCCTACAAGGCTCAATGTTTAATAGGTTCTTTGATGGGAGCCTGAGTGACTGATAGAATGTACTGGCCTTTCCAAGCTAAATTACGTAATTTCTGGCCTATCTTTATGAAAATAATGTTGATCAATAAGAACTGAGTATGTAAACTTGCCATCAACTCAAGACTCCATTGAAAACCCTCATCATAATTTTTTACTATGAGGTTGACTGTATTTTGGTTGATAAGATTAACCTTTAATATTATGGGTTTAACATTGTTTCTTAACAGATTATGAGAATTGTGTCAGAGAAACTTGAAGCAGAAAACAGCTGGGTATTGGAAAAGCAACAGGTAGATACAATACAATTTTACAATGTGATGTAAATCTTAAGTTAGCATATAACCACATGTATGTATGTTGATCATCATACTGAGTTTTAAATTTAAAAAAATTACCAATAACTTGCAAATTGAGAAAAGTATTATCTCATCAAAAGTCATTACATCCTGAGCATCAAAATGATTATTGTTTTAATTATTTATTTGTTTTTGTTTTATTTCCTTTGAACCATGGTTTCTGATGGTTTTAAACTATCAGAATACAACTTAGAAAACTATACTATGCAATTTTATCCAAACTCAGGACAGTGAATTAATCCAATTTTTTTCCATCTATGACAGTTCATAGAAAAGAATGAAGGTCTTCTCAAGAGAAACAAAATTCTTAAAGAACAACTTGAGTGTTTGGAAAGAACAGGAAGTGATGCTGCAGTAAGTGAGAACAAATTAGACAACTTGACTATGAAAAGCACCACTTGGGAAGAATTACTACGACGTCTACATTGACCTGCCCTTTTATTAATAGTTTGCAAGTAATTTAACCATCTTACATTTTACTGTGAGACATATATTACTGGTTATTGTTTTACCCTTATTCTTTCATGCCACTATTACTGTATGATAGACTGTATGCTAGACATTTTGCAGACTAACATGTGGATACTACATAGGATTGTCTTGGCCAAGAGAACATCCAAACTCTCCCAGATTTTTGGGTTTAACCACCACCCTATTATTGTGCCTCTGGAAATTGCAGTATAGCTTTAAACGTTCCTTTTGAAACCTTGGCTTTTACAATAACCATCAGAATTTCAATTTATTTTCCATGGGGTGTCTGGAAGTGAACAAATATCTTGTTGGTGGAGTTGTTGCTGATTTTCCCTGTTGAGTATAAAGGCATCGAGTCTGTAATACAAAAGATTGACCACCAGGTGGATTCAACTGAGTTTGTTAGATTGAAAGACTAGTTCCTATATAAACTTTTATACACGTATCTATACCAATATATATTAATCAGTCAAGATATGAACCAGAGCTCGAGAGTGGGTAGTTAAATTTATTGCAGAACAAAGTTTACAAGAGTTTTTTTCATAACAGACATGAATTATATATTTCAGAAATTGAGCTCAGCTCTTCAAGAGGCAAAAGCGACTATTGAATCCCTTAAACAAAACTGTGAACAGTTAAAACAAGAGAAGAGTATCCTAGAAAAGAGTGTGCGGGATTTCAGCATGGAAAATGAGTCTCTGTCAACAGAGGTGGACAGCTTGAAATCTAGGATAGCGGTTCTGGAAATGCAGTCAAAATTGGCCAAGGCTTCTAAAGCTGAGGAGCAGGATCAAGCGATGGAAATTGCTAACCTAAAAGAACTTATTCAAGAACTTGAAGGGAAAAATGAAACCTTAACAGAAGAGATTGATAAACTGGACAAAGAGAACAAACTTTTGGAATTCAATCTTCAAGATTCCGCTCAAACATTGAAACACATGTACAAAGAGAGAGACTTGCTCAAAAACAGGATCACAGGACTTCTCAATGAGATAGCAGCTCTAAAATCGCAGACACCAGAGAAGCACACTTTTGTAGACTTTGTTCACCTCAAGCGGGATTACAATGCATTGAAAGAGGAACATGAGAAACTTCTCAAACGACGAAGCTCAAAAACCAACGTGTTACCAACTCTTAAAGCCACTGACAGTACTCTTGTTACACGAGCATCCAGTGGTGGAACTGTCAGGAGTACAGCAGCAGTGGGGAGGGTGGGTAGTTTTTGCTAATCTGGATTATAGGACCACTCCTCTGTCACCGTCCTTCGCCCCCACCACTGCAAACCTGATGTCATTCTGGTAACCTGGAAAGTTTCAGTGAAGGATGGTTATACAATGGCGTTATCATCATCGATTATTGATCTACTGGACAGACGGCTCGAGGTTTCGATGGCTGATAAGTCATGAAAAGCGCAGTTCTAATCAACTATTGAAGTTGATCAGAAATCAAGAGCTTGAAGTCAGTTGTATAAGAATAGCTTTCTTGTAAAAATCACCCACTTTATTTTGATTATCGAAACTGGCTCTCATTTAGTTTAATTATCATTGGTTCCTTGAAAACATATAAATTGTTAAGGGTATACTATAGATAAGAACTTCCAGCCTGTGTTGGTTATCCTCGAGAAATGCGGTAAATATGTATAAAAATTAGAACTTTGCACTGGAATCTGAGATGTTTTAGTCCTAGGGGCGCGGTTGTTCATATAGCAGCTACGACGGAGACTGCGAGGACAACGCCTAGTGAGAAATAAAGTGATGTTTTACTCAGGCTGTATTTTACTTACAGACCTCGCAAATATCTAGATATCTTCAGTCTTTTTACCTGGGGGTTGGGGTACTCCCCAAAGTTTGTTCTTGGGGTGTGCAGCCCGAACCTTAAATCTGTTCGCCATTTCAGACCAAAATCTGTGATCAGTTTTCCATACCCATTTCAGACCTGAGCGAATCGATACCCCATTTCAGACCTCTAAAACAAGCTATAAGGAAGCTCAAAACTACGCGGTGAAATTGAAAGTAAATCACCCATGCTCGAATCGATAGAAAAAAGTTCTATGGAGCAACACTAGCCAAACAACAGCAACAGAATAACTCCATTTAATCAATAATGGCAAAATCAGAGGAAACAACTGCTCGCACTTTCCCTTTGTGAGATGTTAATCGCGGTAATAGTCAAAAACCCAGGGAAAAACCCAGTCTTCTCACCATAAAGTTACCACAACTTCAATGCCCCGCACTCTAAAATTATTTGGGGGTTTCAACCAATAGTCTTATTTAGACCACTTGACAGTTTTCTGTACTTCTCTGAACATGCTAACCGATTTCAAAAATCATTTTGCTTTAATTTACTAGTTTAAGCTTAAGCCCCCGGGGCAAGAAATGGACGAAGCATACAAGCATAATATAAAAATCGCTATGTTCACTAACAAATTTTACACATGAAGAGGCTGGTAAGGAGAGAAGGAAGCTCCAAAGCTTAACACGGCTGCTCATAATGGTTACAATTCCTTTGGATACCCCTCTGTTCGTCTTGTGTCAGAAGGAGAGAGGAAACTAAAAAAAACATATGTTACCTTCGAGTTTAAAGTTCAATCAGTTCGGTAGTTAGAAACCAGCCATACAACACCGGTCAATATTGCTTGCATCAACAAATTTCTTAATGTTCTCTTAGAATTGTTTTATTTTGAGCGAGGTAGAATTCAAAGTAGTTTGTTCAAAATTGACTCTATTCGTATATAATTTCTGATTTCACGAAAATCTGAACAACTGAACATGAAGGTCGGTAAACAGTAGCCACAATGCAATTGTAACTCAAATCTGCCATAATGTCTGAAATTCCAACTAAATATTTTGATATTATAACTCACCCTAGAATGTATTAGAAATCAGTCCTAAAGTAAAGGACACAAGTGTGGCTGCATAACATCTCAACACAGTGTCTTCCAAAGTAAAACCGCAGAAAAACGACTAAACTAAGTCCAGTTGAAAACCTCACGAGCAGTAAGTTCAGAGTTTGTATCCAAACAAACAAACAAATTCCTGCAAGGGAAAATAATAAAAATGCTCATGGAATATCATTGACGCCAGTTTTTAAAGCTGTTGAGATATATTAATTCGAGATCTATTTACCCTCAGCAACGCGGAGCATTAGAGCAATGGGCAATTTGAAACAGTAAAGAACTCAGAGCAACGTCGTTCTCGGCAACGAGAACACCACCAAACAAAACGTTCAATGAGAAAAACAATGGCGATGCACGTGCGTTATAAATCTTTGTACATTTCTTAGCCGTCCTCTGCGCAACAACAACGTGAAATGACCAACGACGGCGGCTAATTTTTCGTATATTTATTTGGAATTAAACGCTGGCGTGACACATTTGACTGGAGCACGTTCTGAGACCAATAGGCGCACTGAACAGATCTAGACAATGGCGAAATTCGAAGGTAAAATATAAATTCATTTTTTACTAGGCGTTTTCCTCTAGGTCGCCGCCGTCATTGCTTAAGCTCTTTAGTTACAAAAACGACGAACGAGGGAGCCAGTAAATTAACTTACTTCTGAAATGTGGTATTGGGTTAGAAACTTTCAAACCTACAGTTCCGATGTGCTTGGCTAAACGAGCTTGGTAACTCGCTATTCCGAACGTTTGACACTCTCCCAGTGTTCAACAATCTCTGTACTGTGTGCACGTAATACCTTCTCAATAAAATGGCTATACTAAACCGCTAAACTGCAGAAAAGGGTAGTTGTAAACGAAGCGAAAAGCTAATAAGAACTTGAAAAGAGAAAACGAAAACGTATACTTATACGCGAGGAGAAGTGCATCGACGAAGATGCTGGTTCACCTTTACATCACAGGGCGCTCTCTAAAACTAAAATGAACGGGATGTCCTTTGAGACTTCCTTATATACACGATTAAAATTCATAGCACCTGCTAGAACAGTGTTATGCTGCATCAGAATATTTCATTGGGATTTCTGTGCCTCAAACAATAGAGAGCATACAATAATATCGATAAAAAAATCTCGGGTAAAGCACGTACTCATTCGTAATCATGGAATGTTACAGGTCCTTCAAATGAAATTCGTTGAATAGTTTTCAAGAAGTCTGTTGTGATTTAACCTAAAACCCGAAGGAGAAACTGTACATCCGTCCTCGGGAGCTTGAAATTTATCACCGCGTTTTAAATGCCCAACGTGTCTTATTCTAAGTTGTGTTGGCTTTTTACGGAGCCAAGCCCTGTGAACTGAAGGTGTCAGGTGTTGGCCAAGATAGGTAAGCAAGGCGTGCTCGGACTATTCGGTGACAACATTGCGACTGTAATACGATGGGAAGAAAATTGTGTAAAAGCCACGATTTAAATACATATCAAATGTAATTCTGATAAATTATTTAACATCAATTTCGTTTAAATTTCAAACATGATTTGTTTCCCATAGCCTGCAAGGATTTGAGTTAGAGACAAAACTAGATGGCCAGAACACTGCTGAACAGTTTCAGTTCATGGTTCTTGTGATCAGCAATTGACACACAATTTCAAGATTTCCATTTTTTTAAGCTGCCTTTTGTCCATATCTCCTGATCGGTAGAACTATTCCGTCTTTATCACGGGCACCCAACGGAACATTTCGGTAAAATATCTGTTCGGATGGAAGGTTGCCTAAGAATTTCGGAATTTTTCGCTGAGCGATGCTCTAGACTTTTCGACTTTTTTCGGAAAGCTATAAGGTTCCCTAGAATTTTCGGAATTGACGAGCTCACCTTTTATAATGTCCCATAATTTTTGGACGGTTTTCTTTTTTGTTCGCTAAAATTTTCGTCTTTCGTAATTATTCTACAAGCTGCTAAAAAATTCGGTGAGCATCAGATCGAGGTCATCAGGAACGTACATAAACCTGATGAATGAGCACCCCTGTCTTCATCCGATGGAAAATTTCGTGTCACCAAAAATAATGAACGGTTTACTAAACTTAGTTCTAATTCAAGAGCGAACTTCGGCACAACTACTGACTCATGCAAGTCTGCTGTGGTTAAGTAACCCAGCAGTACAAAACATACTTGCATTATAACAATAATTTTTTTCTGCTGATAAGCACGTAACTGATGATTTGGAGCAATGAAATCGTCCCCAAGGACACAATAATTTGGTATTTACTTTCTCCTTGGCCCTTTAGTTTTTTTTTCTTCAGTTTTTCTTATTTTAAAAAACCATTAACCACAACGCAGATTTTTCCTCGCCGTTTCCTTTCTTTAAAAAATCATGTGGAGTTTTGATCATTCGAGAATTCGTCGAGTATTTAGAACCTCGGTACTCAACATTCGAATCTCTTCACTACAGCTGTCTTATGTTTAGGTAAAGAATTTGTCATATTAGTCATTAGGAAGTTCGGCCATATCATTCGTTGGAAGAGCGTTCGAAGAGAAATTGACAACGTCACAGCTGTAACTTCAACCTTGTGATGGTGCAGCCTCGTGGAATCTCGTTTTCGTGTCTGGTGAGACACGAGGCGTCCCTCGACGCTGCACAACTTCCGCGCATGCCCAGATTGGTATGCTGCTTCGCTTCGCTACGCAGCAATGAAGGCACAACTTTTATGTTTTTTGTTGTCCATTTCCGACCTGCTGTGCTTAATATTTCTGGTTGCTGACATGTAAACATATTTAACTGTTACAGAACAGTTTGTATCATTTCTTAGTACATCGTATATGGTCGTTTATTTACACCGAGTCTGATCAAATTACAAGGGTATAGGATAGCCTTGTAATTGTAAAATGTTCTAAACTAGTGCAGTAAGACCAGCTTAAAAATCACTTGTAGATAAAAACGTGAAAATCTTCATTCCACACTCCCGGTGCAAGTTTGTCGTTAGGTGTCCCTGAGATAGAACCAGAATCCGCCTTCTAAAAATAAAAGAATTAGTGTCGAAGCGTCTTGTAATTATCAGCGTTTAGTTGACACATTTTGCAAAGATATACCGTATACAAATTAAGGTAGACTTAAAGGTTTGTGTGCGATTTACGCTCAACACTAATGTGTACACACCTTTTTTAGTACTCGCACCAGAATTCGGACACAATGGCCGTGCTTGGGTACAGTGTCAAGCTCTCTCTAGGCAGTGCTCGGGTTAAAGCAAATTTCTATATTTTGGTATTGCATGTCATCCTTGTCTAAAAAGGGCGGTGATTACATCACACAACCTGACAACAAATTAGACAACGCCACCAAGTAAAAGGTACTTTGGATTTTTTATGGCCACAAGCGTTTGGCCGCCATCACACAAAATTCATTTCACGCATGGCTGCACGATTTCGGGAACCTGAGAATCAGTGAAACACACTGACGCTGTTGTTTCACTGATTCTATCCCACATCAGTTAAAAACAGAACAACCAGAATGGAAAGATAACGAAGCTTAGAAAAGACTGCTCCACCTCACGGGACCCGATCTAGCATCCATCACTTAGTGACATCGTCAATTATTTTTAATGCCGTCCTTTTGGACGAAGAGTTCAACTAATCTTCAGTTTTAAATGTGTTTGCCCTATTCCTGGATTTTGGTTTTAATGTTTTTCGTTGCCACCTGTTGTTCTCGCATCGATGGTTTTTGGTTTTTCTCCTGTCCCCATGGCAACGGCAAGGGGCAGGCTGGTGACATTTGTTCCGCTTTCTGTCGCTGCCATCCCTTGAACACCTGCGAGGCGGGAGTACAGAAATGTGCGGCTCCCGGAGTGTATGGAGACCGCTGTCATGTCACAAGGCCGTGCGCCAGTGGATTCAGTTGCCATCCGGGAGTTCAGAAATGTTTCCACGTGCCTCGTCTTCATGGTGAGCCCTGCGTGGCCGGGTATGATTGTGGAAGTGGTCTCTCTTGTGAACCAGGCGTTCAGGTCAGTTGACTTAATTTGAAAACGACCATTTCTGTTTAGTTTAGCCTAACTGATAGTTGGACTTCTTTTCAGCTTTGCTTCCATCATCCTCGTCGATACGAAGAGCCGTGTTCTGCGGGATTTTCTTGTGCCCCAGGTCTAAGCTGCCAACCGGGCTATCAGAAGTGCTTGCATCATCCGAGAAGGGAAAATGAGCGCTGTTCTGCGGGATACGCATGCGCTGATGGACTAGTGTGTAGGTTGTGTGACAAACCATATGCCACCTGTCAAATGTCACGTGTACCTGCTTTTACAGAACAGGTAAAGAGTTATCTCTGGAGAATATTCCTTTCCTTAAAAATGAAACATTATCTTTGGCATTCAGCCGTTTCATTGACTGATTTAGGCATGATTTAGGAAATGGGCGCTTTTTTAGGTTTGTTGAAAAGGTTAATCATTCTAAGGAGAGAATTTAAGCGATAAGAAAAATATACTCATCGATTGACTGCTACTGCTGTTTAGGATTATGACAGGCCCTTCAACAAAGTGGCGTTTCTTGTTACCCATAATTCCTTCTCCAACTCGCCAAACTTTGCTGTATGGGCCCGCAATCAACGATTCAGCGTCAGTCAGCAGCTCAAGGATGGTGCGCGCGGACTTATGTTAGACATATACCCAGGTAAGCTAGATAAATGACTTTATTTTGTACTGTAACTTTTTGTGAGATTAAATTTACGGTATTTTTTCAACATTTCTGGCCTTGACCAGCACCAAACTGGAGTGAAAATTGGAATGTCTCCCCAGGCGCAACCACAATTCAAATAATATGCTCAGTTTCACTTCTCTCTAGGGTGGGGAGCAGCAGAGGTTCGTCTCTGTCACGCTTCTTGTTTCTGGAGTGGTTCGTCAAATCTTCTGGACACGCTGATTGAAATCAGGAAATTCCTTGAAAGTAACAGGCATGAAGTTATCACCATCATCTTTGAGGACTACTTAAAAAATCCTACAATTCTGAAACGAGTATTTGACCAAGCGAGAATTTCTCCTTACGTGCTGCTAAAGGACAGTTATGGCGATGGGTTCCATGATTGGCCCACGCTAAGAGACATGCGCAGATTGGGTCGATTGGTGGTGTTCAACAACAATGGTCTCAGTGGTTTTCCTTATACGGAGTCCAATATGTGGCATTACGTCAGAGAGAACCGTTATGGCAGCCCGGGGCAAAACGTGAAGGTAGAGTATATTATGTCTGCTGTGTTCACAAAGGTAACAGGCACACAAGTTGAATGAAAACATTTGTCTCTGCAAAGAGGAACATAATTCCTTTTTCACTGATAACCAGCTATCAGGATAACAGTTGAAATTTATGTAAATGTTTGTTTCATTTGTATTGTACATCCTTATACATCACGTCAAGTAATCGCTGAGGTTTTCTTTCCCAAGAAATGTGTTGATCGCGCAGAATCCCGTTGGAACGCTGTCTGGAATGACCGCTGGAGCCTGGTTCTAGTAAACTGGTTCAGTACAGCGGCTAACCCTCTTCAGCCATGCCTGAATTCGTATAAGAAAATCAGAGAGAAACTGACTACATGCCACGACAAGTTTGGATTATGGGCAAATTTTATAGCGGTTAATTTCTACACCGCGGGCTCCGGAGGTGGAGCTTTTCAAGCTGTCAGATGGCTTAACGACATGCTTAAACGTAGGTGTAGACAATAACCTCATTGCTAGCTGCATTCGTCAATTTTGTATTACGGAGGAGGTCCTATCGGCCCTTGTTTTTATGCTCCTACTCTCCTGTTGTTACCAGCGAGAAGCCTGGTGTGAATGCTGATGCGATGTTTAAATTTCTTGCATGGTTACAAGCATCGTGAACAAGTTAGGAAAATAGGCTGCTATGAGTACCGTGAAAGTGAAGAAATATGAAAAACGTTTCCTTTGATCAACATAAGAGTAGACTTTATAGTACAAAAGATGGTTGGGCTGAGTATAATATATCAGAAACAAATCATCTAAAATAAACATAACAAAGTTACAAAACCCTAACTGGCTCAAGGCAAACCAATTGGTTAGTCACAAGGGAGGCCGACTGGTTGAACTCGGGGCGTGACCGCTTAGGAATTGAGATTTGTCCTATGTTGAGACCATGTTTCCACTCAACCCGATTTATTTGTTTGTACTTTTGTTTTTAGGGGACAAGCAGGTCGTCAAAGAAAGAAAAGCATCAATTATTCCATTTCCTTCAACTGACATTGTCAGTGATTGGAATGTAACCAGTCAGCACCGTCCATTGGAACCCATTGAAAAGCAGAACACAGTAGACGGGGTTGGCTACGGTAGAGGCTTCCACGATCTCTCAGATATAATCTCCCACATATTGAAACATCACCGCAAAAGTTGGGTCAAGGAAAAGAACTCATTCCAAAAATTGGGGAGCACTTCTAATGCAAGTGCACTTGGTGTACTTGCTCATACTGCTTTACCAAGTCAATTCAGTCAAAGAAACAAACATAGAAAAGTCCAAATAAGCCATCACGTAAACCAGGCAATTTTGCCAGATTTTGAAAGACATGACACAATCCCAATAAGCCATGACCAGTTTAGTGAACACAAATCTAAGAAAATACACAATTTGAAAAAGTTATCGCAATGGGAAGTTTCTAGGTCAAGAAATAACAGCTCGCATTTTAAGAAAGGAATCACGCACTTTATTCACTTAGTAAAGTCATCAAAATTAACAAACAGACTATCAAAGAATCGTCTATCACTTTCCACCAAGTCATTAAGAGATGAAAGAAGAAAAATACCAAAAGGAAGATTTCGAACATCAAGTGGACTTCGGAAAGTATCTGGGCGTGTACTCAAAGAAACAGTTACCAAGGCAACACAAGAACCTTATCTGCCTACTGCTCGGTTATCACCGCGCACTCACAGACACAACACAATCGGCGCACGAATAAGTCCTACCACAAAGTTACGCAATCTTCGGAGACAGTTAGCCCGGCTCAAAGCCAAACTAAACAGGTATCTTCACCCGGGTAAAAAAAAATTCCCAAACTTCATGTCGCCTGCCAAAAACACAGATTCGGGAAACAGAGGTCAGCGTAGAAAAATTGTCTGAGTTTAGGTTCGACACCGAAAACAAGAAAGAAGTGAGCTTTTACAAGCTCTCAGTTTGTGTACGCCTCATCACGTACGAATTAACGAAAAATATGAGCACGCTTGCTTAATTCCTCTGTTCCTCGCAGCCTGAAAGCGTGGAAGGTTGGGGAACAAGTACCGCTCGGAGATTTTAGGTTGAAGAAGCTGAAAACGGACTCCACGAGTGAAAACCCGCAAGGCAAAAAGATACTTTAGAGGGCTCTGACCCGGTTAGTGTAAGCTCGTGAATTTAGTAATAAAATTCAGTTTTGATGTAATAAAAGCAAATCTTAATGGCTATTACAAGCCTTTTTTGTTCATTATTATTACTTTGATCCCTATCTCAACCCGCGTTCTCTTTTCGTTTCACCGAAGTTTATGATATACGTCAATTAGAAGAAAGGGAATTATAGAAAATAAGATCATTTTTTTTTGGAATTTATTGTTCACGAATTTGCGGCAAAACCCAAGAGTGACAATCAGACAAGTAAATTACAGGTTCAGGGAGTCTGGAGAATGACAAACCACGCCCTGCATAGAGGAAACTGAGAAAACAGGATGAATAAATCATGACAAATATTTAGTGATCCTATCAAGGGACAAATTGTACAAATGAACTATGTGGAAACGAAGTCTCATTTGTTAAATAAAACTCTTCTCGTTTTAGTTTTGCGGAGAAAGTTTGTTAATATAAAAGTGGCGTGGAAACTTCGTTAGGAGGTGATGGCGTGACAGCGTGACTCATGAGTGACTGATGGTGTTCGGAACCTGCTCTTCTCTTCTGCGTCCACCCACCTCCTTTGACGTTCAGGATACATTTTCTGTTCATAAAGAAGAAGTATTAACGGAAAATTTGAAAACAAAGAGTGCATTTTTTTTAAAGAGCTTGTGACCACGCCTTAACTGTTGGGGGCTTGGGGTGAGCTGCACCAGCCCCCAAGTTGCCCTTCGTACAAGATGGCGGCCCATTTCAGCAGGTGGTGGTTACACTTTGTAATCGAACTTCTGGACGAAATGTGAGGTCATTTCTATAAAGAGGCAAAAGTCTTTTTGAGGAATAACACCTCAGTTCTATAAAGAGAAACTGCTCAGAGAGCTTGGTACTTCCGATCTTGTAAACAAACTCCTAACAAAGGCTAACAAGAGCTGAGTTACAATGAGTAGTGTTCGTGAGATTCCAAAAGATCTCGTGGCTTTTTTGGCCGAAGAAGGGAAGGATTACTGTGTAACTCATGGCATTGTTATGGTAGCGAAGGATTGTTACCACAGGGTCGAACATGCACCATTCACTCTTCTCCCCTCTCCTTTTCCAAAGCGATTGTTCACCCAGGCGAAAGAGGTGCAGAAAGACTTCAATCTCTTAGTTCACAAAGTCAGTCAGGACCATGAATTCCTCAAGGAAGCTCTTCAGAGGTGAGACCTTACTACGAAAAAAAATAGACAGATCTTTTAAGCCTTCAGAGCCACCAACGCCTCTAAACAAAAAAGGTACATGTAATATATAAAACCAGGTGTAATCAATCGATAAAAATCGAAATCAGTCGATATCAATGGCCGATTGCTATCGATTGATATCAGCAAACAATAGCAATCAAACTCGGGAAAATATTTTTATCAATTGCTATCGATTGACAATAGTTGCTAACAATCGATACATGTAATAAAGACAGGAATTATTCCTGTCTTCAGGAATATGGAGAGTTATTCACTGAAAGAAATTCAAATAATTGAAGTCATTTGAACACTGACTCTGTTGTTTATTTTGATGCTACAATGAGACTGGAGGGTTTTACACTGCCACTCTGGCCTGAGCTTCTTCTGGTGCCATAAACTTGCAAAGAAAGATGTAAAGCCAAAATGTTCTTGTTATTTTGTTGATGATCTAAAAGATATGAAGGCTATGAAGATAAAATGACCCAATAGATTTTTGTCAATCATTTTATCAGTGTAACTTGTAAAAGGACAAAAATAATTTTAACAAACAATACCAATCAATTAATCAATCGTTATCGATTGCTATCAGCAATCGATAACAAACAATAAAACTCATTGATTTTCATCAATTGCCATCGATTGTTATCAATTGATATCGATTATTGGTTTATTAATTGACTATACCTAGATATAAAAATAAAAGTAGCCATAGAGGCTCGCAGAAGAGGCCAAGGGCAAGCCACCACAAATCATGAAGTTAAACTTATTTATACAGATAACAAGAAATAAGAATGATAAAGGACAACAATAAATAATTATGATAATGCCTTGTGGATTCTAACACGTACAGTTGACTCCCTGTACCTCTCTTCAGGAGTTTCAGTCAGGAAATGTCAACAAATGACCAGTATTTAGGGAACAGAGAGGTGTGCATTTCAGTTGGATTTACTACAGGGAAAGAGTAAAACTGGAATGATACTTTGCCAATAAAGCAAATAATAACAAAGCAAATGACAGAAGAATACTGTGGTGGGCTACTGCAGTACATAGTTACAACAACTTAATTGACTGTGCTTTTTCAGATAAAGTCTATTGATAGACCCTGACTTCTTAAAAGCAATATATTTCTGTCCAGGATTTTGGAGAGATTTAACCATTTAGACATTGACAGATGTGGTGTGAGTTATTGAGAGTAAATTTATAAAAAAAAACAAAATGGGCTGAAAGGACAAAACATTTTGAGTTGTCAAGGGTGTGAGTTACCAATTGTAAAATAACATGAAATGTAAGATACAAATCCAGGGGAAATCAGTTTTGGTTCGAGTTAGTGTGAGAATTGAGTTTACTTGGGTGCTTGAGTTGTTGGGAGTCAATATTATTGTTTTCTAAATAGAACTAGAATATTTTTGCAAAATGTGTGGTTCCAGAAAATATCCATACCTCCCCCACCGAAGGGTTTTTTTTTTGTCAAACCCCCAATCCCCCAGAAAATTCCAATCCCTTCTGTGGGGGGAGTATGGATATTTTCTGGAACAGCACAATAATTGTAACATGATCAGCATGTACAAATGTCTCAGAAAACGGGTGTGCAACATTTGGAGACAGCAATTTTTTTTTCCTAGTCATTAAAGCCAATAGTTAGTTTGCAGATAGAATAAGCAAATGCTGCAAACCCGCTGAAAGCTGTACATCATGTGAAACATCGCTAGTCTCACAATTAGGCTCTTACTTGATGTAGAAGACACAGTTGACGTAAAACAAATAAAAACAAAAGACAAAAGAATGAGGAATACAATGGAAACAATAGGTTTATGAGGCGGTGTTCTGTTGTGATGTGTTCTGTGTCTCCTACACCAGGTCGGAGTCCAGAATTATGGCTTGTATAACTTTTGTTTTTATAAGGCAAAGTGAAGTTTATCCAAGTCTTAGCTGACAGCTCGATAACATGTCTAATTTCTGTCCATTTAGCACCATAGAAGTGGATGCATTTACTGCCAAAATATTTGAAATTTATGAAACAACAAGAAATGAAGGACTCTCACAGGTGACTTGTAACTTCAACAGTGAAGTGATATATTGACAGCAGCTAGATTAAGTACATCGAGTCACTATTAATGCCAAAATAACATTTTTATTATAAACCCTTCCTTTGATAGACATAACCCTTAAGTAAAAGAAAGTTGTTTGCTTAAAAAATCAATGGATGACCGTGGTTAGCATGTATGACCAAACAAGAAAAGTTCATTATTGTGTCTTTAAAGTCCAAATCAATTACTTGCATGTCACATCTAAGAGTTGCTGTCTATCCAGTTGAGATAGCTGGCCTGTGTTCAATTTGTTCTTACCAACTAACTCTAATATTATTGTGTTTTCCCATACCTCCCCACTGGTCCTTTTGGGTTTAAACCCCCCTCTAGCCCTCTGGGAGGTCCACTTGACCATTCAACTGTCACTTTGGAATTTGCAATGACCTTCCTTGAGATCGGAGGGGCATTAACATGATGTCCTGGATTTGCAAATTCTGCTTAAGGTTACAGTATACCTTCAGATCGGCAATTTTCTTCTAATTTGGATTTTTGGTTCAAAGTAATGGGCAAAGAGTAATCTCTAATTTCTGAAAACAAAATTGAAAAAAACTTAATATTGGCGGAGAAATGGAGGTTTTATGTTATGGCCAGAAGTAAAAGTTCCCTCTTGATTGACAGCCCTATAACGTGTATGCAATCAACCGAGACTACTTTTGCGGGAATATTACCTATATGGATACCACGAATTGGCTGGCTACTCAGTTAATCAGCATTGTTAATCCAAGCATCTTTCATATTAGGTGTAATTCTACTAAGTTATGAGTAAACGTGGACCATGGAAAACTCTGTTTACCAATTCGAAAAAGCAAAGAATGAATGAAAATACATCAATGACTGAAGAAGCAAAAGTTGGCCTCGTGGATGAAGCTATTCACCTATTAAGTGGGCAAAAAGATCGACTGAAGAGAAGAGAAAGGTTCTGTAAAAATTTGGGAACTCGACAGCGATAACAGTGATGTTTACAGTGACTCTTTTGTTGAGTCCGATACCAATGAATCGTCCAACTCATCTCTCCGCATTGAGCGCATTGTGAAACACAAGGTTTTTTTTGTGAGTTAATGGTAGTAAATTTTCCAAGTGCTGATTGACTCAGTGATCTGAGAACCCAGTTGAAGACGTTTGTGGCTGGAGTTTGTTTGCAAAGCAAGAGATTTTTCTTAGTGCTGTTTTCTCGAATAAATTTTTTCGCTTGAAGCAGACACTTTAAAGAGTTACAGCTCAAAGGGAATTTGTTTGTTTGCCCTCAAATTTGGACAGTAGCTAGATTAACATATAAAAAACAAAAAYGTGTCTGCGAATTGTTTATTTCGAAATATTTTTTCTCCGAGAGCGATTTTTGTACGATCACTTCACATTTTTTAAATCCTATTTCGAAAATGTTCTGTAACTTTTTACTGCAACTGAATATGGAAAAACGCAGACACTCTTTTTTAGCGCTTTTTGTCCTGAAACTGAGGAAAAAATGAATTGGTGAAAAACAAAATTCACTTTGACTTGTAGCTTCCAAAAGGTGATTAGGACTCTTGCATTTAGTAGCCGTGAAAAAATCAGCAATTCATTTTATTTCAAAATTTTTGGTATGGTTTGATAGCCAGCTCTATAAGCTTTGATTTGATATAGGAGTTTAGGTATCTACAGCTTAAACCGTACGCGCTACATCGTTTGGACGCGAGACACCCCTGAAGATATACTGTAACCTTAAATTATTTGGCATATATTAAATAAAAGTTGCATTTTTTTGATTATCAAGTTAGTGTTAGTGTTTTGCATGACTTGAATAAATTATAACTTCTGAAAAGCTTCATATATTCATATTTCACAGCCCATCTCCCTGGGGATTTTCCGGTCTGACTATATGTTGGATGGTACAAGTGATAAGCCAGAAGATCTTGCAATCAAGCAAGTTGAAATCAACACAATTGCATCCTCATTTGGTGGATTGAGTTCACAGATGGGAGGACTTCACAAGTACTTTGCATTCCTATTGCATTACCTTATTTTAAAGGATAGCAAATATATGTCAATTTTTATTAATCTGTATATGGTAGCATGATCCATGTTTTGCAATAACAAATTTTGATCATGCCAAAAGTCCTCTTCAGTGGTGGGAAAGGGGGGTTAATAATGGCTGCCTCATAGTTACAAGTAATCTGCTCATAGAAAAAAAATTTCTTATTTGTTTTATTTTACAGCTTCATACTGGATCTTCAGAATGGACCTGACCCAAGTTACAAAAAAAAGGTTCACTTTCAAGTGTTGTGCATTTTGCTAAGTGGTATCTCAACATTGTTTAAATTGGACCAGGATATTCCATTGGTTTCTTTTGTCACGAATATATTAAATCTGTGTCACCTGGGCCATTAAGTTTGCCCAGAATTAGCCAGAAATTTGATTTCAGTTTTGTAACTTTTCGGTGAGGTTTTCTGTTTGTAACTTTGTCTGTCCTTCAATTTTGAGCTTGAGTAATCTCGTTCTACACAAAATCATAAGAAATGGAAAAAACTTTTTATAATACCAAAGGGAAATCACTCAATCAATAAGCATGACCACTGAATGTCCCCTTCATGGCGTTAGCACTCTACATGCATAACGTGCCTATGATGTGAACTAATCTGTACCATCATAGGCATGCAATGGGTGCAAAGAGACACAGCTACATAGCTCTCAGCATGCACTGCTTGTGTAAAGTTAATAACAATTTAAGAGTCAAGCAGTATTTTGCTGGTTTTTTTTATTTTTGTTGTTGTTTTTTTGTGATATATTGTTATTTGATGGTAATAGATGTCCAACAGTAGCAATTAAATGAAAGAATGAAAGATGCGAATGCAGCCAAAACACTACTGGAAAAATGACCTGAAAAAAATTTCAGGCTCTGAACGGGATTCGAACCCACAACCTTTGCATTACCGGTGCAATACTCTACCAATATTAGCTATCAAAGCTCATGTGGCTTTGATAGCTCAGTTGGTAGAGCATTGCACCGGTAATGCAAAGGTCGTAGATTTGAATCCCGTTCAGAGCCTGAAATTTTTTCAGGTCATTTTTCCAGTAGTGTTATGGCTGCATTCGCATCTTTCATTCTTTCATTGTTATTTGAGTCAAACATAATTTGTGTAGAGTAGTCCACAAGTTACTCAACCTCTTTGTATCTGCTTTCAGCTCCCTGAGAATACATCAGCCTTAGGTCTGGCAACAGGCCTAGTTGATGCTTGGAAACTTTATGGAAATGAAAGGTATGTACAGAAACTCAGTGAAAATCAAAACATTTTTGAATCCTAAATTGTAAACAGTAATATTAACAGGGGTTCCAGTAACAGTTTCACCAGGAAGGCAACTGGTTTTCACAGGCAGGCAGAACATTTTTGAGCTCAACTTCCTTATCTACCAGTGCTTAAACCAGGCAGCCAGTCAATTTGACCAGTAGCTGATGCTCATTGAAACCCCTGCATTAATTTGAGTTGATTTTGTATTTTTTTCCTTTGCATCTCATTTAGTGCAGTAGCAATGATGGTAGTATCAGATGGTGAGCGAAACAGATTTGATCAGAGATGGGTGCAACACCTCATGAGACAAGTGTCAGTAGCATTTAAATCTCACTTGTTATAATCACTCTACTCTGCTGTTTCTATAGTATGCTTCACCTTTTACGACTTAAGGGAACACTACTTTCAAAAAATATAATTACATAGTCTTGCAGTACTTTAACGTTGATTTTTTAAGGTACTCAAGGCCACTACATTAATAAATTAGTGTCTTGTGTAGCATAATCTCTGTATGTGAATTTGGTGATTGTCTGCATTGAAAATGCAAAGTGATGTGCCATTAATTTAGTTTCATTTGTTGTTTATATTTACTTAATATTCAATTAAGTTGTTCCTTATAATATTGTGCCTTAGACTAGTACTAGGTTAATTGTTTTGACATTTACAACACTGTATTTTTCTATTACATTTCAGCCATCCTTCAGCTCAAATGATAAGAAAAACCTTCAATGATATAAGCAGGACAGGACAACTAAAAGATGATAAAACACTGATAGTGTGAGTATCTACATTGTAGACCTTGCCCACACAAACTGTGTTTAAATTATAAAGTGATGTACATGTAGAAGTAGTAATCAGTTCTTACCTGTCTTCTTAGGAGATCTATATTATTTCAACCCCTTAGACCGTTTTGCTCTGTCAAAGCTTCGCTTTCTCTTTTTGCTGTGAAGCTATACTCTCTAGTAGGAAGATTAGCATGGAAAGGACATAAGTCAGAGACAATGAAATAACACTTGACTTATTAGACATTTTAATTTGTCTTTTGTTGCCACAATCCTGTGATTTCTATCAAAGAAACTGAATAATAACTACCTGGTCTCCTGGCCATAAGAAAGCGTGTTTTTGAACAGTCAATGCTTGCTGTTGGAGTATTGCCATGATTGTTTTTGAGCACTGTAGTCCTTATTCAGTAATAACTATTATGAATGTAATTTATGATGCATTAGTGGTGAATGAGTTCCATTCAAACTGTGTCATGTTGATTTCCAGAGAAGGACATGAGATTGCTGTGGTATACTTCAGGTGTGGCTATGACCCAGATAATTATGAATCAGGCATGGTAGGTATAATAATAATAATAATAACAACAACAACAACAACAACAACAACCAGCTTAGTGTAATGCATTAACTCAGGCTTAAATAACATAAGAAGCCACATTTTGAACGGTCTAAAGTCTTAGGCTCCAAGTGAAAAACGCTGCTCTGGCTATGTACCAAATGAAATCAACATTATTCTCAGCAGCCATTGCATTGCAGCAGCTGTGCGCAAGGTGGGAATATCCATTAAACGGTGCATTACTTTCCATACATAGTTATTTGCCAGCCAGGAGGTCCATATTGGGAAAAACTGTGCCCAAGGTCTTGAGTCCGGAGTTTACCATTATGATAAGGTTAATAATATACTGATATCCAAGTTAGAAATTGAGGGCATTTATTTTCTTTGACGCAGGATTGGGAGGTAAGGTTAATGCTGGAACGATCAAAAGCTATCAAATGTCCATCAGCTGCAATTCATCTTGCTGGTACAAAAAAAGTTCAACAAGTGTTGGCTTCACCAGGAAAACTTGAAAGGTGTGTTTGTGTGATGACTTCTCTTCTTATTTATAAACATGTTTCGTAGCTTAATTTTCGTCTCTGTGTTAATTAAGTAATATTAAATCAGAAAAGAAGGAGAAGGAGGTTGTTTGGATATCCAGTTCATGTTTGTGATTTCATTGTAACAGGTTTATATCAGATGAAGAGGTGTTCAACAGGATACGAAGCACTTTCACAGGACTTTACACATTGGATGAGGTTAGAGAAACTGATACAAATTAATAATAAGGGCTGTACATGTAGTTGAGAATATATGAGTCCGTAACACAGTGGGCCATGGCAGCAGCCGATATTCAGTTTGGCATCACGTTTGAACAACATTATAAGTTCCGTTAGTACTGTGTCGGACTGATATTGAGTTTGCTGTATAATATCAGGGTGCGGATGGAGACAAAACAGTGCAAATGGCTATAAAAGATCCTGACAGATTTGTCTTGAAGCCACAGCTGGAAGGAGGAGGTATAAACAGTATAGCTAGTCATGTTAAATAGACACTGTTAAACGATCTTATGGTAGATTAGATGAAAATCCAAGACAGAGTTAGAAATGGCTACCTAATAAGAGTGTTTAGATATAAGGGAGGTCTGTCAGTTGTACCTGTCTTGAATTAAAACTTGGCAGGTTCTGTGTGCACAGTGATTTCCGTCCGTTCTTGTGAAAACTACGTCATTTTTTGGTTACAGGTAACAACATTTTTGGAGAAGACATTGTGAAAACATTGACAGAGACAGTTGATGTCAAGGAACGTTCAAAGTTCATTTTAATGGACAAAATTCAGCCTCCGATCACACAGAACTACATTGTACGTGCAGAACTGGCTGAACCTGTCCTAGCGGATGTTCTAAGTGAGATTGGATGTTTTGGAATACTTATCAGGTTAGTAAGGCTGGGCTTCTTTAGATACATTTCTCCAACGGTTTAATGTAGTGTTACGTGACATTTGTGGGAGGCGCGGTGGCCTCGTGGTTAGTGCGCTCATCTCCGGATCGAGCGGTCCGGGCCGGGGACATTGTGTTGTGTTGTGTTCTTGAGCAATCTTTCCTCTCACAGGGCCTCTCTCCACCCAAGTCTATAAATGAGTACCGGCGAACTTAATGTTGAGGGTATCCTCGCGATGGACCAGCATCGCGTCCAGTGGGATGGGGGTGGGGGGGTAGAAATAATCCTAGTCGCTTCATGCTACAGAAACCGGAAGAAGTTCTGGCTTGTTGGGACACTTGGCTCGTATGCAGACTTCACTTACATAATTTGTTAATTTGCTTTGTCTTTTTCATAGTCGTGGTGACGAGGTTATGGTGAACAGAGAAGTAGGACATCTCATGCGCACGAAAAGCACGGCACATCAAGACGGAGGCGTCTCGTCAGGGCGAGCAAATCTGGACAGCCCGGTTTTAGTTTGACTTCTAACCACGAATTGGTAGCTTTATAGTTTATACAAGTATTCGTAAGCAATAATGCATTGTATTCCCCGTTCTTCACATACCATTTGATATCATACAATATCAATCAGAAATATTTTTATGGCATGTGCTTTCATCTTAACAGTATCAAAACAATTCTTTACCACGTACATTTAAATGTTTCATGCCTTCCATCTCATCCAGCATTTAAGGAAAAATGTATTAAGTCAGTTAGTGAGTCACTCCAGTAATCATAAATCAAATCAATATAGATCAGTTAATTCATAAATCCGTCAATCAAACTATCTATTTATCAGTCGGGCAATTAATTCATCCATCCATCCAGCCAGAAGTTAAGCTTGATTCCCGTCACTCTCTATGGTCCGGTCCCGTGGCACTCGGGACGGGAGGAGCGCGGGCTCCATTTTCCGAACAGCAGTTGGTGATCAAGTCCTGCTTGTGGGACATCTAGGAGTAGTTTCCAAAAAAGATAGTATGTGTAATTAATCTGACAGGTATATAATGTTATCCAAACAAATAAGATAGCAAGTAATGCCAGGAGCCATAATCGGGGACGGAGACCGTAAGCGCGCGCCATTTCTAGTATTGGGGTTGTCCCCTTTCTAAAAATAGAAAAATTGTCCCATATCATAGGTGCGCGCGGATCCCAAGACTTACGGTCTCCCCGATTATGGCTCCTGGTAATACTTGAAATTGTGAGCCATGCCTAGATGTATTTACTAGTTAACCAGAACGTGTTAGTGAGTTTATACAGGCCCAACATTTTCATTTTTTAATCCAGAAAAACTATGAGAAGGCTAAAAATACGTGGTAGCTCTTAATTAGTTTGAGTTAAAATTTCTGGGTATCTTATTCTCTCGGCCACATATGAGTATCACAGTTTGGTTGTAATCTTTAATTTATATAAATGACAAAATCACTTTATAATGAGAATTATATTAGGGCCGCGAAGCCGCATGAAGTTATAATTCAAATTATATGAACAGATGAAGTGAGAAATATACCCACTCTTCTTCCCTCCCTTCTATGGAATCTCTCGTTTGCCAGTCAATTCCATGGCGTCAAAAAGCCACCGAAGCATCATGGGACACCGAGACTAGTTCCCAGGGCCTTGTGGGTATACCCAAGCCCCTTCTATTGTTTCTTTAGGGGGGTTCGCCCTTCTGTTGGCGTTCAAAAGTGGTTTGAGGCACTAACCGGGAAATTCCTACCATTTGTTTTCTCATATATTTCGAACGGAGTCAGTAAAATATAATTCGATTTAAGTAAATTTGTTTGATGTTATTTTCAGCCAACATTTAGTTTTATGAACGCTTTTCCTTGTATTGTAGCGGTCTCTTTCGGTTTCTTGTGTATAAACGTCTGGTATCGTTTGAGAAATTTGAATTAAACAAATGTAGAAAACTACGTTTACTCTTACTAATGTTATCTTGCATGATGTCACTGCCTGTCATTAGACCGATAGTACGTTCAGTTGCTTGTCTTTAAGGCCCGGATGCACGGTGCAATATTGCGCGCAATATTGTAATTCGTATTGTAATTCGTAATTCTTCTCGTGTTCTTCCAACATCCCAAGTGGTTTATCAGCCTACAAACCATAAAAACTTGTGGTCCATTGCTTTTATATAATAATTCAGAGGACACGCGAAATTT